GCGCCTTCTTTTCTATAGATTAACACCGATTTTCATTCAAGCTTTAGTCTAATAATTTATTCTTTCAATCGATTTTTATTTAAGCAATTAGGTTTAGCCGTTTTTCTCGTTTTTAGTCGATTTCATTAAGTTTAGTTATTAGGTCACTTTGATTCCCGTATTTTCTCGTTAAGATTAGTTTTTACGTTTTAAAGATACCACCAAAACCCCTACAAAAATCGTCTGGTTTTAGACTTCCTTACTTTATATATCTTTCGAAGGCTTTTGCAGGAAAGATCCTCATTCCTTGTGGATTCGATCCCTAAGTACTACAATCGATCAGTTGTTCACTTGCGGCTATTGATTTCATTTAGGGTAAAACTTGACACCCTCACCAGAAAACACATCAGTAAACATCATGTCTTTTGGTCTTCAAAGAAGCAAAAGAGTGTGGCAAGGTCATCCACTGAAGCAGAATACATATCAGTTGCAAACACGTCTTCGGAGGTCATTTGGAGATTCGATTCCCGTAAGCTCCGGTAATATATGGTGACAACTTGGTAGCTACGTATTTTTCTACAAATCCGATCTTCCATTCCCGAATGAGACATGTTGCTTTAGATTATCATTTTATTCGAAATCAAGTTCAGTTAGGAGCATTAAAAGTTGTCCATGTATATACAAAGGATCAATTAGCAGATGCTTTCACCAAGGGACTCCCACGGACAATATTCACCAGATTTTTGGGCAAGATTGGAGTTTCAAGAGCTCCTCCATCTTGTGGGGGCATATAGGAGATCAATCAGATCACTGATTGGGATAATCATAGATCTAATTATGTTAATGAATATATCTATATGAATTCAATTGTAATACCCTAGCTGTTTCTCTGTATATGTTCGCACATTGTGTATTATAATAAACATCACTTCAATATACATTTACACATTGCCTTTTTTATTTTCGGAGGAAAAATCAGTTTTGAAGAACTTCTGTTCTCGAATCGTGATGTCTGTTGTATTAGACGTCCTGACCATGGCAATAAAGTAAGAATGCCTTTCAAGTTTAACCAACTCTTGCTTCAGCATCCTACACGTGCAACATGGATAAGTCGCCACTACGATATTAAGAAGGGCGTCGGTCTGATCTAACTGACCGATCGTACGACCTAATCTGCCCAAAATTAACCTAATCGTTTTACTATAAATAGTCTTGTCCCTCATTTAAGATGGGCTTGGTAATCTTAACTAAATACATTAAGCTCGCAACTTTAAGATATTCGATCTACTCTTTATACTCGTAGCTCGATTAATCTTCAAACTCGTAAATCTATTTGTAGTTCGCAAATTAAACAACCTACTAGCAAGTTTCGAATAAAAATTTACTCTTCAACATTGTCGGTCAAGAAAATTTATAATAATGAATATCACAGAGCTCTTATTAGTAAAGATATATCCCATCCATGCTCTTACGTTACAACACTGAGTTTAAACTATTGTGGAATCTGCTTGGAGAGGGTTCTCAATGTTGGAAACTTCAATGCATCAAGTTAGCCAAAATCTTAAAGTCCCTGAAGCGTATTTTTGAAACAGTTAAAATACTCAGTATGCACCAGCCAAAGCTTTCTCAGGCTTATTACCTTCCTTACTAATATGATCTTCCCTGAATCGGCACTCTAGAGACTGGATTGGACAAGCTTGAACTCTGAAACATGAACAGCTCAAAGAACAAGGAAGGGGATCGATAGGTCGCACAAAGGCTGCGGAAAACCTTTGATTTACCGGTTTGATTCTGAGGATATTACACACCTAAGAATCGGGTGTTTGAGTGATATGACACACTCACAAACTAAGATGTTCAAAGGAACAAATGATCTTACTTAGAAAGGTTTTTAGATAAAAGAAAGATGGTTTCTCAAATGAGATTACAAGAGAATATAAAGGAAAAGAAGAGAGTCTCGGCCAACAATAAACATGTCTCGAATGCAAGATGTCAAAGTTTGAATTCAAATGTCTCCATACGCTCCTCTTCATGGCCGATTCTTTGGAGCTGGGCTTAGTGGACTTTAGATGCATAAGTGATCCAACTCTGCCTCACTAAAAATCAATCACTAGAAAACCCATTGGGACAAAACTAGTGATGGGGAAAAAGAGTACAAATTGGATCATAAGTCCACTAAGCTTCTTGGACTTGGATCACAACCACAATGTTTGTGTTGAACTCTTTTTCCTCTTGAGCCGAGTGTTGTGCTTGTCTTAGGATTCCTCCAACAGCTTCTCTAAACTTCTTAGCTCGTGATCTTGTCATTGGTCCACTTGGAATAGCTAAGGTCTCCTCTTGATCTGGTGCTGGTGCCTGATCCTCAGCTACAAGCTCTCCTTCCTCAGGTTCTAGCTCCATGGTTCCAGTGCTGCCCATGATCATATCACTTACGTATCTACATTTGGTGGATCCAGCAGTGTATTTCCATTACGAGATTCTATATGGCATTCAATGGTGACCTATATGAATATTTCAAGTATACTAGAGGTATAAGGCAAGGTGACTCTCGGTCTCCACATCTTTTTAGTATGGGAAAAGACAAATAAAGGTGTAGGCAAGGCTTGGAGAGCCAATTAACACTACAAGAATTCTGATTGTGGTATTTCTCTCTTCCTTCAGGAAAAACACTTTGTTGTGATGGGTATACATAAGTGTTCTTCAAATACTGCTGGGATATAATTGGTGCTGAAGTGGCTGCGGTAGTTATAAAATTCTATTATTTTTTTTTTGACAGCAGAGCTTTTATTGGCTATAAATCATGTATGTGGAATGCGGAAAGTGTTCTTGATTTCAGGCATATATCATGTATGAATGAAAAAAAAAAAATAGTTGCTTAGCTATTGGCTAAAAATCTTCAGAATTTTCTCCTGTTGATGATCATTAAGAAACAAATAATATTAGTTAATGGTATGCATATTGTTGAAAATGTTGTGTTGGCCTTAGAAATTGTTGAGGGATACAACGTAACATTTCATGCTCAATGGTAACCTTAAGAAGGCTTTTAAATATGTAGATTGGAGGTTATACATCCCTAGTTAAGGCTACAAAATTTCTACCTATCTACATTTGATGGATCTAGCAGTGTATTTCCACTACGTGATTCTATGTGGCAGTCAATGGCGAGTTCTGTTGTGGATATTTCAAGTGTACTAAAGATATATGACAAGGTAACCTCTGTCTCCACCTTTTTTTTATGGGAATGATTTTTTTTCTTTGGTTTTACACGTTTCATTCAGTTCTAGTCTAATATGAACTCACCCAAGGCTTCAATGACATGATGGTTTTCTCTGATGGGATCCTTCACTCCTTGCAAGCTATGGTGAATCTCTTGGGATAATTCTCTACTGTATCCGTTCTCACAAAGAATAGAAGAAAACCTTCTTATTAGATACTTTACCAATGAGGTATCTAGGTTTGGCTCTTCTTTCTAGGGGATTTTCTAGGTCAGGCTAGTGATCCTTGTATTGAAAAGGTTAAATCTAGTTTACTCTAGGACTTCGTGGCACATATCCTTTGTGCAAAAAAACCAACTCATCCCTTATGTCATTCAGAGTTCATAGCCTAGTGGTCTACAACATTATTGCTTCCAAAGAGCTGCATCAAGGAGATAAAAAAATGTGTAGAAGATTTTTATGGTATGGGGATCCAGGAACAACAAAAAATGTCAAATGGACTCAATTTTACTCATAAAAAGCTGCTAGTTGCTTAGTTTAGTGGATCTTATCTCTTGGAACTATGTCTTTGGTCTAAGTTGATTTGTTTAAATTTCTCTTATCAGGGTCTCTTAGGGTGGCGTAAAAAGCAGATACTGAGGAGGAAATCATTATGGATCCTGTCTAAGGGAAGTCGGAGATCATTGTATTAGTATCAACTTCGTAAGCTAAAGACTATATACAACTATAAACTTCACCTCGTGCAAAACTGGAAATGGGTATGAATGCTACTTTTGGTATCATAATTCGAATCCTTTTGGATAACCTTTATTGGGCTAGATGGTCCACGAATTGACAGCATTCCCATTGACTCAAAAGTCTCCTTTGTGGCAACAAATGAAAGGTGGAATTTCTGGGGTGCTCTCTATCAAAATGCAGAATCCCTTCCCTGCCACTTGACAACAGTTTTAATATCCTGCATGACTAAATGATAGCTTCAAATGGAAGGAAACCTTCATTGTTCTAGCAAGGCGCTAATCCAATGCCACTTTCTCGGAATTTCCATAGCATAAAAAAGTTTGGTTCTCGAGAAATGTCCCTTAAACATGCTTTCATTCTGTGACTTGCTTCTCTTGATAGATTGTCCACAAAATCTAGGCTTGCATCATGGGGTGTGATTGATAGTAGTACTTGTGTGTTGTGTGAGATCTTTCATGAAACTGGAGATCATTTGCTACTTTGATGTTCTTATAGTTATGATTTGTAGAGAATGGAGTTTCAGCGACTCAATGCTCCGTACTACGACTCTTTTCTGAGATGGTTAAAAATAGTTTATTCAAATGCCGCAAAAAAAAAATTTGAGGCTGCTCATGGCTAAAGTTATCATTTATTCGATGTGGAGGCAACCCTAACGACCACATTTTTAACAACAAATTAGTCACCCCGGTGGTGCTCATCAAAATGATAGATAGAAGGATCTGTGATGCTTTGTTAGCTTGGAAAGACACCCCAAGCTTTCATGTTTCGGTTGCATTGTGGTTTATAGAGTTACTTAACCTTCATCTTCTTTTCTTTTCCTAGAATACCTTCATAGGTCCAATCCCGAAAGCGTCTTCATTTTGCTTTATCTAACTTATTCAGTTATGTAATTGTCTCTAAGAAATACAACCAGAAAAATATAGAAAAGAAGAATAGTAATGTACACTTCTTGTATTGCGAGTAAGTAGTGGATATATATATATATATTAACACTGAATTATTATATTTTTTTTGTCAACCCTTTATCTTATTAAATATAGGAAAACATGTAAGTTTATAAACAATGATTCAGAAAAGCCATGAAACAACATATGGGAGCAATTTGATTCTTGCTTCCTTTGCTAAATTATCCGCTATTCCATTTGCTGTTCGATTGATAGCTTTAAAGCGGTAAGATCCTTTAGCTATGCTTTGAATATCCTCCAGATGGCCTTGTTTTGAAGCTGGTAGAGTAGATGCTTGTGGTCTCTTTTTTGAGTCAAGCTCAAGGTATTTATAAATTGTCTCAGAGTCTCCACACAATATTATATCCTCACATGTTATTCACTTCAGTTGTAGAATAGCTTCTTTAAGTGCTATAGTGTCATATTCGATAGGTGTTTCTGTCGGTTCGATTGAAGAAGCTCCTTTGATTATCTTCTTTCTTTTCGAGTCAAATAAGGACCATCCAATACCAGTCTTGTCTTTATTGTTGATCCATAAGGCATCTACACAACAAAAAGGAGATGATGCTATTTAAGGTTTGATGTATTGATTTTTATTAGTGGAATATTACAGGGATTTATACAGAAATTAGAAAGGTAATTGAGGAGAGAACTAATTACAATCACACCTAAATATATGCTTTACATATTTGGCTAATATGCCCTCTGAAGATGGAGGGTTCTTGAAGACTCCAATCTTGGAACATGCAGAGTTCAACCGTGATCTTAGAAGTGGTTTTGCCAGCATATCAGCAAGCTGGTCATGGGTCGATACATGAGAGACTTGCAGCATTCCAGCTTGTATTTGGTTCCTCACAAAGTGATAATCTAGGCAATATGTTTTATTCTTGAGTGGAAGACTGGATTTGCACACAAATATTTCGCACCTACATTATCACAATAGATGACCGGAGCTTTGGGTAGATGAACTCCTTACTCCGTGAGAAGAGAACACACCCACCTTACCTCCGCTGCTGTGTTTGCAACTGATCTGTACTCAGCCTCTGTTGAGGAGCGAGCAACACCATTCTGTTTTTTTTTATGACCAAGTGATGAGGTTTCTTCCAATACAGAGAATGTACCCATTTTGTGATACAAAATCATCAGTATCACCTGCCCAATTAGCATCGGATAATCCATGTAGGACTAGTGGTGAGTCTTTGCGTAGTGTGATACCATGTGTTTGAGTTCCCGCAAGATATCTAAGTACCCGATCTGTTGTCGGTTTGTGCATCAATTGAGAGAGGCGATTGACGGCATAAGCGATGACGGGTCGAGTAAACGAAAAGTATTGAAGACTACCAACCAGTGACCGATATTAAGTAGGGTCTTGTAGTGCTGGACCATCTCTGATGGAGAGTTTAGGTGTAGTCGGTAGAGGTGTGGAGACATGTTTGGAATCTCCCAAGTTGTACTTAGCCAGAAGGTCTGCGATATATTTTCTTTGCATAAGATGGAGGCCAGTGGCAGAGCGAGTAACTTTCACTCTTAGAAATTAATGTAGATTGGTGGGATCTTTTATGTAGAAACGATCACCAATGTTTTATAGCACCTCTGCAATTCGGCGATTATTATCACAGGTGACAATAATATCATCTACGTAGACAAAAACATATGTGATTGTGGTTAATGAAAAGAGAGGTATCTGCAAGTGATGGTGTGAATCCGGTCTAAACTAAATGTTCTTTGAGGGAGATGTACCATGCACGAGGAGCCTGTTTAAGGCCATAAATCGGTTTGCAGAGGCGACAGACACAGGAAGGACGGTCACGATCAACAAACCCCGGAGGTTGGAACATGTAAATCTCTTCAGTAAGTTCTCCTTGCAGGAATTGACGTCGAGCTGTTTCATGGACCATGACTTAGTAGTACCAACACTGACCACCAATCAGGTTGTTGTCGTTTTGATAATTGGGCTGAAAGTCTCTGCATAATCAAGGACATACTGCTGAGTGTATCCTCTGGCAACGAGACGAACTTTGTATCTGTCAAGATCACCATTCGGGAGATATTTTTGTTGTAAAAATCCAGCGACACCCAACAAGGTTCTGATGAGGAATCGGTGGCACGAGATCCCATGTGTGGTTGGTGTTGTGAGCATCAAACTATGTGGAACATGCTCGTTTTCATTTCTCATCCTTTAGTGCTTGAGCAATCGTTGATGGTTTAGGAGCAAATGTTGATGGACCTGCAACCGTGAGAGTAAATTTCTGTTTTGGTTTTTGTGGATATTGCTTTTGGCTCGGGTTTACATTTTATGGATATAATTTGGTTGAGTTGTTGATTTGGGTTGTTGGTTATTTGGGTCTGGCGGTTTTGGCTTTGGTTTGGAAGACTGGTTTGGTGAGGAGTTGGGCTATTTATGACTGGTTCAGGCTCAGTTGTCGGTTACAACTGATTTTGTGTGGGAGCAGTGGGCTCAAGTATTGTTGGGCTTGACTGGGTTGTGGGTGTCGGTCCATTATGTATTGGAGCAGTGGGCTCAGAAATTGGGGAAGAAGAAGAAGTCGGAGTTAGAGAGAAAGAAGTCGATACCTGTGTTGGGACGATGGTGGCGGATAAGTCAGACGAGGACAGAGCAGCGTGAAGGTCTGAGTGCAGGGGTTCCTTGTGGAGTGGCCGGATTTGCTCGTCGGATTAGTATTGGAGTCACTATCGAAGGTAAGTGAGTGCTTTGATCCTCATCTGTATCTGTAGTCGGTAACGCTGAATTATGACGAAAAGGAAATAGCGATACATCAAACTGCACATGTCTGGATGTATAGATGCGTCGTGTGGCTCTGTGAAGACAGTAATATGCACTCTGCGTACTGGAATATCCAAGAAAAATACATTCCAATATGTCATCAAGTTTGTGATTGATGTATGGTCTCAACCAAGAAAAATTAAAACAGCCAAAAATTCGCAGCTTTTCATAGTTTGGAGACTGGGCAAAGAGTTTATAGTATGGAGAAATCATTGACAGAACCAGTATTGTCATTCGGTTAAGGAGATATACCGATGTAGCAAAATCATATGTCCAATACGTCTTTGGTACCGATGCCGTTGATAACAGAGTGAGCCGAGTTTCGACAATGTGTCTGTGTTTACGCTTAGACATACCATTGTGTTCTGGTGTGTGTGGTGGGTAGGTGAGATGCTATATAGCAGTGGAAGCAAGGAAGTCACAGAGAGCAATGAACTCACCACCATTGTCCGAGAAGAGGGTTCCAGTTCGACGCTGAAACCGATTTTCAACCAGTGCTTCAAAGTCAATGAAAGTGCTTTTGACATCAGATTTTCGTTTTAAGGGATAGAACCAGGTGTATATCGTAAAATGGTAAACAAGAATGAGATAGTATTTGAAGTTATCAATGGACAGTATTGGTGAGGTCTATACATCGGTGAAGATGTACTCAAGGGGACAGGTGGAAATAATGGAAGAGTTTGAGAAGGGATTTGAAAATTGGTTTGGTGTAGGATTTGTTGTTGTTGCGTTGTTGAACATTATTGGCAGTGACCGAAAAAACAGAGTTGTTGGTCGCGTCATGAGATTGGCAGGGAAGTTTTGCTTCGTGATTCAAGAAATGTTCGTGCACCTCAGTTATTGTCGGTGATGCGTCTTTGGCTTCAATCTGGTCAACAACTGGTTTGTACTCTTCAGGCAAAACTTGGAGAATAGGGTCAATAGCATCAGCATGGTTATACGGTTTTCCGAGGAGAGCAAGTTGATCAAGACATGAGGTGATGCCTTGGATGTATTCATCGATTGTCTTTGTTCATTTGGCAGAGGCTTGGAGTTGTAGCCGCAGTGTGTTGACATGATTACGGTTGGGCTTAGCATATGTTGAGGAAAGTTTCTCCCAGATCTGAAAGGAGATTGTCGTTCGTGAGATAATTGGTTGAAGTGGCATTGTTATAGCACCAATGAGAGCACTATATATGAGTTTATCCTGATGATACCATTTGGTGTATGCAGGATTGGTGCTGGTGGTACCGACAGTAGTGAAAGTGGCAGCAGGGACTTCAGTGGATCCGTTGATATGACCAGCAAGGCTATAACCATCAAGGAAAGAGCGTATTTGAAGGCTCCACATTAGGTAGTTTGTACTGGTCAGTTTAGTGACATGGGACATATTGACGTTTAGGATAGTGTCGGAGTTGAGGTTAAGGGTTTCAGTGGTGTTTGTGTTTTGAGCCATTGACGGCGGTTAGGTGTTTAGATGAACACACACAAAAATTACGTCATTTGGAGTGTATGCTCTAATACCATATAAAAGGTTTGATGTATTGATTTTCATTAGTGGAATAGTACAAGAATGTATACAGAGATGAGAAGGAAAGAACTAATTACAATCACGCCTATATATATGCTTTACATATTTGGCTAATAGATGCGTGTGATATGACTTCTTGGAATTTGTTGGTGTATTCTTTTTTGGAATTTCTGTCTTTGCACTCCCGGATTTTTACTAGAACAAGCATCATTCCATAAACGATAATCTACTACAGCTTGGTGTATAACATCAGGAATAGCCCAGCTTTTATTATTGAAAATTAGATCATTCCGAGCTTTCCATATATGCCAGCCAATGAAAGAAAATAAATGTTCCTTTCTATTAGAGGTAGACTTGATATCGAGCAGAGCTTGAATGAAGTCAATGGAGGAGTGAGTAAAAATAAACTGACCTTTTGGCATATTGAGTGGGGAGAGTTCCCATACTTCTTTAGTAATACGACAGTGAAAGAGTATATAGGTAATAGTTTCGTCCCCTTCTCCACATAAAAGACACTTTGGGGATGTCCTGAAGTGCCTTCTAGTGAATTCTGTTGCAACAGGGTAAAGCATCATGTAAAGCTTTCCACCATAAATGTTTAACTTTTAGTGGAGCATTTACTTTCCAAATGGCATTGCTAATGCTAATTTTTCTTAGCAATAATATCATTAACAAGCAAAGTAGGCTAAGTAAGTTGATATCATCCAGATCTCACTGAGTACTGACCTTCCTTTGTATGTATCCAGGTTTGAATATCCGGAGTTGCTGAGAGTCTAGGCCTTATCTTCCTTATAAGAAGTATATCATCAGGTTGTATTAGGCTTCTGAGCTTCTGCTCATTCCATGTTTGAATATTTGATTCCATGAGATCTGAAACTGTAAATTGGTCATTAATTAAGTTATGGATAGCTCTGGGAGGTCTCAGAGGATTATCAATCCATGTATCTTTCCATAATCTAATTGTTTTCCCATCTCCCACTTTCCATTTCAAGCCTTGCTTTAACAGATCCATACCTTGATAAATGCTTCTCCATGCGTGACTTGGTCTATGCCCTAACGTAGCTTCCATGAATGTTTTCTTGTTAAAATATTTAGCTTTGTAAACTTGAGCCAGCAATGATGAAGACTCTTTTAATATTCTCCATCCTTGTTTGGCTAGTAGTTTAATGTTGAACTTCTGCAAATTTCTGAAACCCAAACCTCCATATTTTTTTAGTTGGGTTAGCTTTTCCCATGCTAACCAGTGAATGTGATGTTTTTCCTTTGAAGTAGATCACCAGAAATGTCTTATAAGCCCTGTAATTTTTGAGATGAGCTTTTTAAGAAGAAGAAAACAGGATATACTATAAGTAGGTAAAGCAGTTGCCACAGTTTTAATTAAGATTTATTTTCTAGCTGGTGACAATAGCTTTGAATACCAGCTTTCAATCTTGCTTTGAACTCTTTGGGTTATGAATGAAAAGGCATTAGATTTATTTCTTCCAATTGCTTCTGGTAGGCCAAGATATTTGCCAAAATTATCCACCTTACTGTGCTTTTTCGATAATTTTTTGTTGAACTTGAGATTGAACATTCTTACCAAACATAATCGATGACTTCTGGAAATTGATATGCTATCCTGAGGCTTGGGCATAAATTTGAAGAAGGGATAACAAATGCTCGCATTCTTTTTCTTCAGCTTTACAAAATAAAAGAGAATCATCAGCAAAGAGCATATGAGATATCTCTTGACCATTTCGACTAGCTTTGAATCTATGTATTTCTTTTTTGCTTAAAGCTTTAGTAAGTAAAGCTGATAAGCCCTCTGTATAAATCAAGTAAAGATAAGGTGAAAGAGGGTCATCTTGCCTAAGTCCTCTCTGTGGATATATCGTTTCCGTGGGAGATCCGTTAATGAGAACCGAATATGTTACCGATTCAATGCATTGCTTTACCCAAAGGCACCATTTATCTGCAAAACCAAATCTGTTCAAAACTGCTTCGATATAGCCCCATTCAACTTATCAGAAGCTTTGGCTATGTCTAACTTTAATGCCATATAAGGATTAACGATCTTCTTAATCCTTAAGGAGCGGAGGAGCTCATGAGTAATTAGTACATTGTCTGTAATTAAGCTTTCAGGAATAAATGCAGATTGATATTCAGATATTAGACAATGTAAGTCTTTCTGCCAAGATTTTAGAGATGAATTTGTACGATAAATTTCACAAACTAATGAGTCTAAAATCTTTAACCTGAGTAGGGGATTCTATCTTAGGCACTAGAAAAATATAAGTATGATTCATATCCTCATCCAAGTAACCAGTGTCGAAGAAGAGTTTAATATATTTGAACACACCTGATTTTATTGTTTTCCAATGAAATTTGTAGAAGCCTGCACTGAAACCATCAGGGCCTGGCGCTTTGTTCTCATTTATCTGTGAAAGCGCTTGACAGATATCTTCTTCAGTGAATGGTTTTGTGAGTCTTTGGTTCATTTCAGATGAGACTTTTGGTTGTATGTTCTGAATAATTGCTTCCATTTGGTTTCTACAGGGAGAAGAAGAAGAAGAATACAGATCAGTAAAGTAAGATTGGATTATAGCTTGGATGTCTTTCTCATCATTTGTGAGATTGCCTTCAGCATTTTTTAAAGAAGTTATGCGATTGTAGCTCGTTCTTTGCTTTGTTTTGGCATGAAAGAAAGAAGTGTTTTTATCACTCGACTGTAACCCGTGTATTCTGCTTTTTGTGCGCCAGTGTTCTTCTTTAAACTTGTATTCTTTCTTCAGTTCTAATTTAATGGAAACTAAACTATTGTAATCAAATAGAGATAGAATCATACTCTTTTTGAAGGGCTTCTTGAAACTGCACAATCTTCTTGTGAGAGTAGTAGTCTTGAGTAGATTGCCAGCAAGATATAGCATTCTTACAACGCTTTAAAGCCTCAGAGAACTTGTATGGTGGTAAATGTATACATCTCTCCTTCCAAATATTTTGCACAACATTATAAAAATCGTTATTTGTTCTCAATCTGTTATCATACCTGAATTGTTTGCCTCTTTTCCATTTGGTATTTTCGGTATGCAAAAGGAGGGGTTGGTGGTCTGATCCTTGCCAATTCAGGAGCTGTGCTTAAGATTTTGAAAACGAGTCTTTCCATTCTGAAGTTGCAACCACTTGATCTAGTTTTGTTTTGATAGAACCTTTTTGGTGATTTCCAATACATGTGTATTTTCCTCCATACGTTTTAATTTCATGAAGATCCAAGACATTTAGAATTCTTCTAAAGGTAGCAAACTGCCATTCAGGTTTACTAGACCCTCCTTGTTTCTCTGAGTTGTCTTTTATCTCATTAAAGTCTCCCAATACTATTTTTGGTTTGCTTCAATAGAATCCTCTTTGTACCCATTCAATCATCTTGTTCCATAGTTGTTGTCACGGCTTTCTTTCAGGATGTCCATAAACATACATGAGGTAAAACATAACTGAACCTTCTGTTACAACCATATCCGTGTAATAGAGTACTGGTGGAGAGAGGAAATTTCACTCTATTGTATTCTGCCAAAAGATAGCTAAGTCTCTACTTAAAACATCAGGTGAGACCAAAATTTAATGATTGAAGTGAAGTTCATCGCCAATATGATTTACATAACTATCTTTATTCTTCGTTTCTACGAGGAACAAGATATCAGATTTCTATTTACGGTTGATATCCTCGAGATAAGGAATTGTCAAGGGGTTCCTCAAACCTTGACAATTCCAGTGCAGAAGCCTCATTCTGGAAGTGGTGGTTTTGGGGTTACCACCTCCCTTTTTTCCTTTTCTGTGAAGCTTCCTTTGGTCTTCTTCCTGTTTGTAGAATTTTCATCTGCAGCGTCTTCTGATTTCCTCTAACAGGAACTGCTGCTGATGTTGAGCCGATTTCTCTGATAGTGTTAGACTGTTTTGAGTTCATCTGGATATCATTGGGGTTGAGAAAATTCATCAAGTCATCCATTGAACATGTAAGCATTAGAGCTCCAGACATATCTATTCATAGGTTTGATTCAACGTTTTCACCCATGGTATCATCTGCTGTTTGTTCTGGAGAATCATGTTGTGGTTCCATAGGATTATCGTTTTGTTTCTGATTCACTTACTGCTCTTGTTGGATTGGAGGCAGTTGAGGAATTGCTTGTATAGGGTTCCGAGGTTGAAGTCGGAAGTTACAGCCTGTTTTCTCATGAGTAAGTGCTCCACAGGTAGAACAGAATTTACGAAATTTCTCAAATCGGAACCGAATAAGGATTGGTTCCCATTGGTCATCAAAATGAATAAAGCGAGTAAAAATCAAATGACCATAAGCATCCATGAGAACTCTTACCTAAACCTCTCCTTCTTGATCAAAGGTTGGTTGGATAATGAATACCTCTCTGATATGCTCAAAAACGCCTCCAATTTCTCTAATTGCTCGATCTTCCCTGGAGTCATCTGGTATGTTGAGGATTTATCCAATTTAATTATTTGGAGAAGTCTGGATAAAATCTTCTGGTCCATCAATCTACCACAAGCATCCAGTCTCTATAGTTCCAGGGTTGATTGAGTTGATGCTCATGCCTGAAGAAGAACTGAACCATGTTATCTTCATTGGTTCTGCTGGTGATTCTTCCATCGAGCTTCCAGGCTTTTGGCATCATAACTCTGATTCCTGCTGGATTTTGGTGTTTTGGATTGAGAGCTTTGACAATTAAGCTTAGTCGATGATCTGCTTTTCTCTTGTTTTTTGCTTCCACAGCCAGCTTCAAGGGAGCTCTGTCCGAATCCAGACTGAGTTTTTGGAGATCCAACCACAGATTTTTATCCAAATTGATAAAGAACAGAGGAATCTGGTGTACTGGAAGTGAAAACCGCGTTCAGCAAAGTGAAAATCATCGATCTGATCAGAAGCGGTGAAACGGTGGGAAAACTCTAGAGATCGCAAGAGAGAAAAAAGGAGGAAAGAGAGAGACTTTTTTTATTACTGCGATTCCGATTTAATCCATCTGAAATTTGCTATGAATTATTTTATATCTTTGAACAGTTCATTAATTATGATTATATGGAGATATGTATTTTCTTATAATTTTTTTTTCTAGATCTCTATGACTCTATACTATTATTAAAGAAGTCATTCGAAAAAATTAATTTTATTTTTTAAGTTATTATATGAAATGCTATACAAATAACAAAATATATTTAAAATAAAAAATGATATATTCTCTTCAAAATATTGAAAAATACAAAAAGTTTTCTTTAAATAAGATGTCAATTATTTTTAATTATTACAATATTATAACATTTATTATTATTAAATAATAATTAATATATATATATTGAAAGAAAAACATCTATTAAAAATCTTAGAATATTTTTTACTATAATTTGTAATATTTTATTTGAATATATCTCAAATTAAAAGTTAAAACGGATTAAGTTTAAGTTTATCTTTTAGTCTATTACAAAATATGTTAAGTAAACAGGTTAGTTTACTTTGATAATTTTATTTATAATAATTAGTTCATATATTTGAAAATTTTTAAAAGTATCAAAATAAATTTTACGAAATTATCTCCCGCTATAACATAGGTTCAATCATAGTTCTAATGATAAGTTCCAAGTTATTAGAACTTATTGGATTCTAGTTAAAATTGGAAACAAAACATACATGATTGGATCGTATTTCAATAACATTTGTCGTAGTACATGTTAAATTTGGGTGCCAAAACACAATTTATATTACCAAAAATACTTACGAAAGAACTTATATATGAGTCTTCGGTATAAGTAACAAAGTAATTGGCCGGCCTCGTAGTCTAATGGGTTTGACGTCATAATACCAAATACTCGATCCGGGCTCAAAACCAAAGTTCTGTAATGTTTAAATATTGACGAGAATATTAATGGTCCATATAATTGAGCAATTGTCAAAAACTGTTGCCTTTAGTTCAAGAAGAGATGGTCAAATTCTTAGGGATATGTAGCACCACATCCACATGTGACGTAGCGGAATCTTATAGGACTAGGTTTGTGATTTGTTGATTCTAAAAATATTCTGAAAACCAAATTTTTTTAGATTCATTGAAAAATAGAGACTGAGGAATAAGCCGCGGGAGAAGATAAGATGGCAAGGTCAAGAGTAGCATCCTTCTTTTGGGAAGAGTCAGTAGATGCATGAAGAGGAAGAGTTTCACAAGCAAACACATGAACAATAGTGATCTGAGCTAATCACTGCTTCCTTATGTAATAAATCAAGTTCCTTTCCAAATTTTACAAGAGAGCCATGACTTTCACAACATAATCAAGTATTACAATTATCAGCAATATGATTGTAACATCCCAATTTTTGGTATATGTGGAGAGGCTTATAAGAATTGATTTGGTTACTTCTGTCATTATCATATTCGGGAAATGGTCTTAAGAGAACTCCAGAGTTAAGCGTGCTTAAGTTTGGTCCACGGTACCATATGAGTGAGGACAAAAGCACGGAAAAAGATCATGTGGTGATTGCAGGGACAGTAGACAAGTCTTACGAGCCTTCCGTACTAACTCACTGATCGTCGGACAGTGGTGGGCCAACAGGAAAAAAGAGGATGTTGGGCCAACAGCTAAAGAGAGGATGTTGGGCCCACGGACCTAGAGAGAGGTTGTTGGACTCACTGGGAGGGGCGCTTGGGGCGTTAAGAGTTGATATCCAATCCAGATGAAAGACATGATCGGGGTCTCAGTGTAGGTAATAGCCGGTCCGTCTAGTTCACAGAAGGAAAGACGGGAACAGGGACTCACAATTAATATAAGAGCCAAGGTTAGCCAACCGGCTCTGACCCGGGTGGCGTCTTGGGACTAGTTGAGTTAGAGAGAATTCGAGGACAAATTCCTTGGAATTTGGGGAGAATTGTAACATCCCGATTTTTGGTATATGTGGAGGCTTATAAGAATTGATTTGGATATCTATGTCATCAAAAGTGCACTTATCTTTTCAGGCACTGGTCTTAAGAGAACTCCAGAGTTAAGCGTGCTTAAGGTGAGAAAAATTTTAGGATGGGTGATATACAAGTCTTACGAGCCTCCTAAACTAACACACCGACCGTCAGACAGTAGTGGACCAACGGACCTAGAAAAGAGGACGTTGGACCAACGGACCTAAAGAGAAGACGTTATGGCCACGTGCCTAGAGAGAGCGTTGAGCTCACTGAAAGGGGCGGTTGGGGCATTAAGAGTTGATAGCCAATCTAAATGAAAACGGGATCAGGGTTTCACTGTAGGTTATACCCGATCCGTCTGGTTCTCGGAAGGGAAGACAAGAACAGGGTCTCACAATGATGAAACAAATTTTATGGAATAGCATGCGTCCTGGCTCGCACCAAGAGGTTAAACGAAACACCTCCTAGAAGATCATTATGTAAACCTTTATATCTCGTACTTTAAGGCTTGGTGTGCATGGAAGGAGCCGTGGTCAGCCCAAACTGATGTGCCCATGAATCACATCTCTTCGCCAAAGGTATTCAATAAACGTATTGTAGTTTATTTTTCTAGTTCATGATTTATCCTTCCTCTTAAAACTGATATCAATAGAGAAACACACAACTCTCTCTATGCTTCTTTAATATATTTATTTTGCAGTTGATATCTTAATTGGGAAAAATGCCATTTAAATCCCCAACTTTTAAATTTCAGCCAAATTAAGCACTAACTATCGACTGAACACTTTAAAGCATGAAATTATGTTGACTTTCGTTTTAAATCTCAAACTTTGTTTGACTCGGCCAAATTAGGCATGCCGTGAACTCGATTAACAGACTTTTTTAACGGGGTTAAATCCTCTTCTAAACATCTGTTAAATTATAAAACGACACAGTTTCTTAAACAAAAACCCTCAAATTGATTGCAAACCCTAATTCCCAAATTAGATTTCTCTCAAAATCGAAATTCATCTCTCTATTTCTCTCCATTCTCATCGAGATCCCACTTGCCCTC